TCTCATACTAAAACTGTCTCATACACGTTATTATATTAGTAAAATAATACTTATAATATGACATCTTCTTTTATATTTATTTAATTAAATATTTTAAAATAGAAAGAATGTATTTTTATTAAATCGTCTATTTATTATATTTATCTCATACTAAAATTGTCTCATACACGTTATTATATTAGCAAAATGACACTTATAATCCTTTTGTCATTAACTATTTAAATAATTTAAAATGGAAATAATGTATTTTGTTATATAACAGTTTAGAAATATTACCTATTTTAGTATGACGATTTTTTCTTTTTTGTTAATTAGTCCATAATCCTTGTTTAGAATATATTCTTTATTTTAATTTTAAAAATTTTTGTTAATATTGACACATGTTACAATCTAAAATAACAATTACATGTGTCGTAATCTGGTGAGTTATAATTTTGCTTATGTGTCGCGTTCTCCTCATAAGGATTCCATGTATTTCCTCTTCATTCCTTACAGTAGGAGGGGAAATAGAACAAAATTGTTCCCCATCTAATTTGACAAAGAACAAAAAAGAATACAAAAATAATTGGTAAAAAATCTATTAAGGTGAACAATATTAGAATTACTTATTCTTTTCTTTTGTTAACATTTATAAAGAAAATTTGTTTCATTCCCTCTCTACATATATTCCTTTTAATTTGCTCCTTTTTATTCATTACTTTTTTTTTCATCATTCCTCTTTTTCCTTCATTGGTTACCAGTTAGAGCGGAAACTTACTAGTAAATTTAAGGGAAATTACCATAAAAAACCTTCAACTTCTTAACTTTTTCCAACTTAAACATTTTTTTTTTACGTTTCCAGAACAAACCTCCAACTCAATTATTTTTCCGAAATATCCCTCTAAGTGACGACTCCACTAAACATTCTTAACGTCCGTTAAAATCAAATTAATGGCAGTTTTTTTTAATTAGTACGTGATAGATATTATTATAATTAATATTTAGGGTTTAGAATCATCTGAAATCTTTGGCTTCGATAGTCGAAGATAAGCAGATTGGCGATTTTTTTTCTGTGCTCCTTGATTTCTTTAAAGATATGAGATATGTAAGTTAAAATTGGATTTCAGTGGTGATTTTACAATTTCTGAATTTATAGTTTTTGGGTTGAAATGGAGATTCAAATTTTTTTATATAAATTTAGATAGCTTGTTTTTGATTTGAGCTACGAATTGTGGATGTTGTAATTATAAATATAAACATAGTAATAAAAGATAACAAATCAAGACCATAAACTTTACATAAGATTATCAAGAATTATAACGGGCGTTACTGTGTTTAACAGAGTTGTCGTTGACCATTGTTCAATCTTCGAATGCATACACTTTTGGTCATTTAGAGGTTTATTTCAGAATTATAATTGAGTTGAAGGTTTGTTCCGGAAACGCAAAAAAAATGGATGTTTAAGTTGGAAATTTTTAAAAAGTTGGAGGTTTGTTCTGGAAACGCAAAAAGTTAGATGTTTAAGTTGGAAAAAGTTAAAAAGTTAAAGGTTTTTTCATGGTAATTTCTCTAAAATGTCATATTTTGTTTGTTTTGATGATGTAGATACTTAAGATAGAGGATAAAACTCCATAATTTATATATAAGATTTTGAATATGCATATCAAAATGTTAAAAATTTATCAGGATGAAATGCATTTGTTTCAACTAGTTAGTTAAACTATTCTCTTTTCTTTTTTTTTTAAACCAAAAGATTGTCCAAAAGACTTCAGAGAAATAATAAAATAGCAAATGGCAACGCCTATGAATTTTAGTTTCAGAAATCACGTTTTTGATACTGAAATGCGAGAGCATCCACAAACGTTTTATTGTATGAATTTATGTCTACGGGTTTAAAATCTTTGTGTTATACAGTTTGGGTTTTCTTTTTGGATCATTTACTTATGAAAATTTATTGAAGTTTTTTTTTGAAATGTATTCTATAAAAAAAAAATTTGTTAATCACAACATATATATAGTGTACCAACCTTAAAGATGTTTCAGTTATGTTTTTTGAAGACTTCAACAATTTACTTTTAGCAGTTTCTTGATTTGTGTTTGTTTATATTCGTTCTTGATAACTTGTG